ATTATTTAGGAAATGAAGGTGAACTGGGCAGTGGAACCGGGACAGCAACAACCCAAAGTCGACACAAGCAGTATGTTCTGTATTTCATGTTGACGTAAAAAGTTAAATATGATTTCTCCCCACTCTATTAACCAGCCATTTTTTATTCTAGAACACTTCCATGTATTTGTTGGAGACCTTTCTCCTGAGGTCGATAATAAAGCCTTGAAGGAAGCCTTCGCACCATTTGGAGATGTCAGGTAGGCTTTTAGCATGTTGATGTGCGAGTAGCATTACTTGACCGATTTTTCTCTTCAGCGACGCTAAAGTTATACGTGATGTCACCACCTTGAAATCGAAAGGATACGGTTTCGTCTCATATCCTAAGCGAGAAGTGAGGATCATTTACCGTTTTTCGCCTTATGCGGGTTCTGAATACGTGAAATGTTTCAGGAAGCTGAGCGTGCTATCGAACAAATGAATGGACAATGGCTTGGTCGTCGTACAATTCGTACTAACTGGGCTACACGTAAGCCTGGCCAAGGAGGTGGTGATCAACCGGCGAACAATGAAAAGACCTATGATGACATCTTCAATATGACCACTCCCGACAACACTTCTGTTTACGTGGGAAATGTGGCAGGCGGAGTTTGTGGTGAGTTTTCAATTCAAGAATCGCTTAAAGGCAGTAAAGAAGGAGTTCGTGAAAAATCATGCATTGACTCTCGCTGGGTTGTGACCCAGGGCTTAGTGACCCTGAATTGCGCATGATCCGAGAGCGATAAAGTTGCTTGTTCTGTTGAAGAAAAATTCTCCAAGAAATGTGGGAGTAGGGTTGGACCTGTTCACTGCTACCGATACTTGCGAAGTAGTCCAGATATGGGTTACTTCGGCCCCTTCTCTTTAAATACGTTTTCTGTAGTTCCAGTTGTTTTCTTTACCTAAGACGTGTACTGATTCCAGAGGAGGATATCCGAGAAGCATTCGGGCGGTTCGGTCGCATTCTTGAAGTACGCATATTCAAAGTACAAGGGTACGCGTTCGTGAAATTCGATTCAAAAGATTGTGCGTGCCGAGCCATATTACAAATGAACGGTGGCGATCTTGGCGGCAACACAATCCGCTGCTCTTGGGGAAAGACGAGTGATGTGAGTTTCTACATATTTATATCTGAAAATCATTCAAATATTTATTAATACTTTACAGTCGGATAAGCGCAATCAAGGCTACAATAACTACGGCCAAGGCGCTTATGGCTATGGAGGACAGGCAACCGGTAATAGTGGTTACGGGCCACCTGCTGCAGGTGGACCAGGTGGGGCAGCAGTAGCCGCTGCCGCTCAGGCTCATCAGCAGTATTACAATTATTATGCTCAATACTACAGCAATCCGCAAGTTATGCAGCAATGGGCCAGGTAGTCCTTAAGAAATAGAGGTGCTCTCACTCGGTGTATGAGAAAATGATTGTGTTTGATTTCAGCTATTGGCAGCAACAACAAGCAGGTGCTGGTCAATCAGGAGGAGCGAACGGAAATCGCTAAGTATAACCATATACTCACAAGGGGTGCATGTAGACATTCTCTTCTCTATTTGTCTATGGTTTACATTTACTTCTTAAAAATGATCTATTTGTGTTGGATACGAGTCAGTTTCGTTTTTTATCCATTTACAACTTCTCAGTTGGTCTTTATCCGTCGTTAAATTGGTGGCACTGTTACAGCTATAAATCATTTTGTTGGATGTCTTTGTGCGTGTTGACTGTTGTGAGTTCAATAAAATTGCGGATTCATGACATCATCTTTATTCTACACAACATACACGTCATATGGATCACCATTGCACCATTAATTCAGTGACGAAATCGAAGATTTTTAAACGAAAGGAGCCACTAAAACTCGTGATAATTGTTACAAGGAAGTCGGCATGTTCCGAAAGGAGCGATACAGGCGGATCAATGTTCGACCGTGAGCGATAAGAAGAACACGGCGTAGTCCGGAGTGGGAGGTGGTGGGAGGGCATTTTGCACTATTGCTACTTCCCATCAAGTGGAGACTCGTGAAAACTTGTGAAGCCGGGAATGATATCAAAAAAGTCTCCAGAGGCCTCCTGTCAATTCTTGTAAGGAATTACGGTACAAATGCCATTTACCATGAAGATTCGACGAGAAGACGGGCAAGAGAATCGTCATTTGCCGCGCTGTTGTGCGTCGCGCACAGTTTGGCGAGCGCGGGGAATTCAAATTGTGCGTCAAATTCTCGATTGGAGCAGCAGGACTCGCAGGAATCGTTGAATGTTTTTTACTAACTTAAATTTCACACGAATAAAGTGAAAACACGTCATGTGACAAGCGTCAAATTAACTGCATGGCGTGATAGAAGTATAAAAGCTCGAAGGACCTCCCTCAGTCAGAATCGCTTACGGCTGGCGCGCTCTAACACCCTTTAATATTCAAACTCCAGCTGGGCGGAAGAACTCGTCTTCCGCAGGGCGGCGTCGCTCGTCGCTCGATTCTTTTGTCACATATCCGGATCGACGAGCTTGCCCCAGCTTCACAAGTATTCACAGGTTTCATTAGAAAAAGGCTTCTGAATCGGAATTAGTGAAGCAGCGGAGAATTAGTGAAAGTGCAGAATGCCCTCTCGTCGCCGAACTGCGCCGAGGAACACAATGGCTTAAGTACGACAGTAACGTCCTCACTTTGAACTCGCTTACTTTCAAAGCAGAAAACTATCTTGCACTGAAAACTGTCAGCTAAGCGAAAGCACGCCTATGTACAAAAAAGTTGGATGGATCTAATGCGCGAGTCTCCGAGAACTAAAAGCTGAAAACTAACGGCAACTGACTAGCGCGGAGAAAAACTGTCCACTTCGATCTCGGGGGGACAGTCATCAAGAAAGGTGTCGGTTTGGTTATAAACATGAAGTAATAAGTACAAACATCACCATAGAAAGCGTGCAAGGAAACAGCTATTCATATCATTATCGCTAAATTTCACCCCTTAGTATTAAAAAAATTTAAGTAGGCGTCTCGTTTGTGTGACTATTCCGGGAAGACGTCATAGATCTGCAGCTGGGATGCTTATCGAAGAAGGACGATTTCGATGGTTGCAGTAGTATGGTTGAGATCAAGGTGACGAGAAATGACTCCATCACAGTAAAGAAGTTCTTCCAGACTGAAATTCCTATCTTTCAAAAATATTCAAATCGAAAAAAAATCCGAAAAATCAAAAAATTATTGTATTCACATAGGTGATATAACGTGGCCTGAACCAAATTCTTTCCACCAGGCACCACTTCCAGCAGGCTGGTAAGCTACGGTTACAACACTGTCGAAATCCACATTCATTTCCAAACCGACAGTCGAGCAAGTCCTTACGTTCTGTGTGGTTAGCCCTTTGACCGCAGAGTAAATTTTTCGCGAGAGTCCACACGCCCAAACTACCCGTGGGCATTCTTTCTTGCTCCCCCAGTCTCTGGGATAATCGCCACTTTCGCAGC